CATGATCTGTAAGAAGCACTTCAGTATGAAGGTAAAATCAAATTGATCATTGTTGATCAAGTCCAAACTGTAATGAATAAGATTTGAACTTTATTTGTTAAATGCATTTAAGAGATAAGTGTTGCATCCTTCTAATCATAAGGCATATTGTAGGACACGAAGATAGTGAGTAAACTTTAAAAAAACGTATGAGTTGAAACCAGAGCGCCTCTCCACAGGCAAGAATATGCATAGGTAGCAGATAAGCAAAACTGCCTTTCATGTGTTGCAGCAGTCATAACTGTTGACTGATAAGTGTGGGTCCATAGCCTTTCTGTATTCTTCTTATCAGAGCCATGGCAACTATGCATAACCACATTCACAGTTTGTTTTAAGAAACATGTGGGGTGAGACGTCTTTATTTTTCTGGAGCCATCTTAATGAGGGTGTAGCAAAGTGATACATGTGTTTTCCTAGCACAACAACTCCGATTTACAGGCACTGCAGCCAGGGAAGCATCTCTATGAGACTGAATGACACATCTTTATGCAAGCGATGTAAGCATAAAGCTGAGACTGCTATGGATTGTTATCAATCCGAGAATCCGGCATTGGTTTATTGGCTTAAGTGAAAATCCGGTAGGTCGTATCCTCTCCAACAGTCTTTTTTTACACTGAAGCAGTCGCGAAGGTAGAAGCCTAAAGGGCAGGGCGCCGCGGCTACTATGAGAAATTTTGTTAATCCGATTTTTGAACTGCCCAAGGTTAGTAGAACTGGAAAAAGCCCCCTCATGTAAATTCTTCCACAACCTCGATACCCTAGGGTCAAAGGAGCGGTCGTATCAGCCAGTTGTGGCATGGCTGATGATCTAGCTCTGAGTAAACCTAGATGCAGATACAGATTTTTCATAATCCCAGAGTGCTTAGTTGTTCCAGGTAAATTACGGATGGATGCTTTCTGAAGTAACTGAGGTTTCTTTTGGAGGTATTTCAGGACAGCGTCGATAACTCGAGATTTCAGACCTAAACCGATAAGGACTTTTTCACTCGTTTTAAGTGAACTCGAGGTGTGACCTGCTAAACTTTGGTGCTTTTCGGATAAAATCCCTAATAACTCAGTAATAAACCATCAAAACACGTTGAGTGTTTCATATAAATATTCTCCTTCTAAAAGGATCAATCAAAGCATAAAAAATAGGGCCATACATTTGAAAATCCAACTTTGTTATGTGAGCCTATATAATCATGAATATCTTTCTCTTATAATGTGCGCAGATTTCGGTATACAGTTTAAGATTTTTGGTAATAGAAATCGATTAAGAATCCTAACAATAAGATAAAAAATGGCAGGTAGTCATAATTACATGTTTTGAGCCAGTGAACCTTACAAAATGTGGAGAAGCCGTTAACGGAAAAATTGTTAGAATCTGTCAGCCGAATCATGACTAAATTAACAAGATCTCATAAGCATACAATAGGATAACCAAAGCTGGAATTTCAATCAGCTGTGTGGTTACGAGTTGCAAGGAAAAGCGCTGTACAGTAAAAAGAAGCCTAACCATATATGTATGTGGTTTTTATTCGGCCGCATAATGATGTAGTCCTATGAACAAGATAACCACATAATTCAAACGCTTCATGGATTACATTGGTGAGTGATATGGTTCATCTTGAAAAGAGTAAAATCTCTTTCACGGTTTTGCTCTATCATCATCAAGACATGGCGTAAAACGTGACGAAAAGTACACGCAAAAATAGCGATTTTTTAAATTTTACTTTTTCTAACCAATTTCTGCATCTTACCAGACTGGCTCATTCTTGTTGTGTGTCCTGAAAAATCTCCAATAAAAACTTCAGTTACTTCAGACAGGATCCGCATTTTTAGCTACGGCTTACAATTACGATACATCTCAAGACAATACGTGAAATTAACTCAAGTACTTAGCTCTGTGCCATGTCAGATCTCCGGCATCAATAGCCTTCCACGTCAATTAATCAAATTTTGTTTGCCAAAATAAACACGTTTGTTAGTATAACGTTGCATCCTTATCGACGGCGGGGGCAGTATTATGTCATTCACAAATTCAATGTAAATGCTTCGAAAGCAATCCATAGTCCATAATGATCGAATGGAGTCAGTTTGTTTGTACAGATTCGCCGGCAGCCGGATATATTAACCGGAAATTAATTAGACAGTGCAAATATCAAAATGTTCCTCCATGCACGTGGGCGTCGTTACTGCGCGTTTAGAGAGGGATAATGGCCAAATGCTCCCAAAAAAGATATTTTATTGAAAAACAGGCGGTACAAAAATACGAGCACATTGTATTAAAAAAAAATAACAAAAGCATAATACTCGGGGAACTCATGTACCAGTAAATAACACCAAAAACAAATTTCAAAAGATGTTTTTCTCGCTCATGCCAAAACCTTTTTTAGGTTTTTTGCGACATTCTGAATAAATAAGTTTCCCATGAACTATCTTCTAAACCTCTGAGTTTTCAAGATGTAAGTGCCGTATCTCTCGCGATGACGCAGAATATACATCGATACTTAGGTAACAATCTAAAAATAAAGGTTTATAATAGTATCTTTTAAAATACCTTATGAATTGATAATGGACGTTTGAAGATTATTTTGGAATCTTAACATTAAATTTTCATATTGCTGATGATGCTAACCGTTGAACATACCACAATTTCTTATTTTGCGACTATTCAGACGTAACCTTTGTCAATAAGTTTAGATGAGAAGGCCAATTCTCTAACCAAGGAGTAGCAAACTGTAATAGATAGTAGGCGACTGCTATCACTTTTAGAGGAATTGTGTTCTTTAGCATTTGACAGAAGAGTCGCTCCTCGTGTTAGTCTCGTTATAAAAAGATCAAGAAACACTGCGCGAGTCCACCACTCTCACCTCTAAAGGTAAAGAAGATTTTAATTATATGAAATATCTAAATAGATATAATTTTGCCGGAAATGTATCTACTACCCCGTTTCCGAGAGTTGACCCCCAACGGTGCTTTTTCTCCTCATTTTCGATAGGTTCAGAATTTGAAACCGTTAACATATCATGGTCTGTTCAAACTATAAACGTTTTTGATAAGTAAAGTGATTTTGTTTTTGACATTTTCGACTATTTCAGGCTGTATGTTATTCGTTAGGGTAAGTACCCCCTTGCCACCTCGCACGTTCTGCCACCGCTCTGCGAAGAGCAAATCGGTTGTAGTGTATGATGCGCCAGATGAACTGAACTTGAGTCAATATCATAGGACTTGTTGATAACATAGATATCGGCTTATTGGGGGATATAACCAAGTTTGGTTGGAAATAGGATGGTAGGATGAACCTCTGGGTAATCTTGATACTGTAAATATTCTGATAGTATCACTTTTCAGTTGATATACCGCTTTATGGCTTATGGTGGTAAAGTAACTTTAGCGCGAGATATGTTTGAACTTATTTTATTTATTCGTTGAGAGATGACGGTGGAAGGACTAGTTACAGTACTTACTCAAAAGTCAATCTAATTTTTGATTTCAGCCGGTCGTATATGCAATTTTGAAAGCATCTCCTGTATAATAAGCCTTTGTGGCCCTTGGTCTGTAATTTGCCTTTTCACGCCTTGGTCATAATCGCTCCAGACACATAAATAACCATTATAGTCAGAGTTTTTTATCTCAATACACTATAATGTAGGAGATCAGTAATAGTTAATGTGTCACCAATTATTTTCTGCTATTATAGCTACAAAATATAACTACGCTACTGACGGGAGCAAAAACAAAACCAGTGAACTAACTAATCAGTTGACAAACCACAATTTGTGTAATTCTATTCAAAACTAGTTTTGTAGTCTGCTCATATGCAGGCTAGTTTCAATATAGAATTGATAAATTACTAATTTGAACATTTGTCCACAAAAAAATTTGATTGTGGTCCGATACATGCTTGTTTTGATTATATATACGAAATCAAATGGAACTGGCTAATGCATTACCCATTGAAATTATCTTGCATGTGTATTTGGATTTGAGCTAAATTGTTTTTGCCTACATATTTATCGAGAAAGCCCCAGCTCTAGCTACGTGTTGTTTGATGGATAAATGAAGGATGGGGTTTAAGGTAGAGAAATGTGTGGATTTATTTAAAAAAACTTTTTTCCAAATATGTAATGTTTTGTGTAACATATCTGTATTTTGGAATGCAAATAAGACATTTCGAAATTTCTATGTATTTCGTGTTTTTTAAGTAGCTTCCTTACAGAATTGAAATATTATATAGTTGTCAGCAGCATTAGTCCATTCTCTTTCGTATTGTCGTACCTCTTAATTGTATTTTCGTAGACTACAGGTGCTCTTACATGGTAAAACTCTTTCATCATACTTCGTTTTCCATACAGCTCTTTTTCTCATATGCCCAAATTTCATATTTGTAGTTCAAAAAATGAATGAGCTAAGATGCAACTATTGATGTATGCCTTACATTAACCTAAAGGGGTACTAGGGAACCTAAAATATAGTACACAGTATAAATAACTTCCACAGACTGTTTCTTGGCCAAATAGGCAAATCGAAAAACTTTCATAGTTTAGTTAAAGAAATGAATGACCTACGATGCAACTATTGACGTATGCCTTGTATGAACCTATAGGGGTACTAGGGAACCTAAAATATAGTATACACAAAATAAATAACTTTCACAGACTGTTTCTTGAACAAATAGGCAAATTGAAGAGCTTTCATATTTGTAGTTCCAAAAATGAATGACCTACGATGCAACTATTGACGTATGCCTTGTATGAACCTACAGGGGTACTAGGGAAGCTAAAATATAGTGTACACAAAATAAATAACTTCCACAGACTGTTTCTTGGCCAAATAGGCAAATCGAAAAACTTTCATATTTTAGTTAAAAAAATGAATGAGCTACGATGCAACTATTGACGTATGCCTTGTATGAACCTATAGGGGTGCTATGGAACCTAAAATATAGTATACAGAATAAATAACTTCCACAGACTGTTTGCAAAGCTTCAATCTTAGCTTTTAATTCCCATCTGACTCATAATTTCATAGATATCACCGTAAAAATAAGCCTTTTAGCAAAAAATCACCTTCATAGACATCAAACCATTATTGAATACAAAATATGAAGAAAAATAATATTACAGGATTGAGCCACCTTGCTATCCACAATAGCCACAGACATCCAAGATGGGCATATCAAAGCGCCTGTGTGGATCCCAGTAAGTCAAGAATAATTATGGTTTGTATCTATTTCGGAAATATGAAAGTAGAGAAGATATAGATGGTAAAAGGCGCACTTTTATATTATCTATCACCAATGCCGTGACTATTAATGATCAGCTGACTAGTTGTTAGAGATACTGAATTTCAAGAATCCTACTTTTTTATGTGTATAGCTTTCCAAGTAGAAGAATCACCCTGCTATAACTATAACATGTAAATAGTATAAAAATCCTCTAAACGTGCTTGCTACAAACTGTCTGTTATGAGTAGTATACTGAACTGTTCTTGGAGAACGTAGTACCAGTGTATTGTTGTTTTACAAGTTTTATAACAATAACGCACTCTGTTTTTCAATACAGGCATACAGGGTGCTTCCACATCAAGCGAACATACAAATAATCATTCTTTAAGAGTATCCTATCTGACCGAATCAAACCATACATATGTTTTAATTTATGTTTATCGTGTTTAGGCAGCAGCGGTGGCCGCAGTAGCAGTTGCCGTCCCAAGGGAAATTTTTCTCTTGACTATTCATGTTGTGATTGTCCGTAGGTGGTAGACCGTCTCTGACTGTCGAACGCAGAGGTACCACCCGGCGGATCTCGTAGGCGGGGCCAGAATGTGTGCATGTTGCATGCACACGTGTTCCCTCGCCAGAGTCCGTGTGGCGTTCCCCCTTTCCCCTATCCCCCTGTAGCCTCACGGTACCCCATGGGTATTTACGCCTTAGGCCTTCGTGGTAGTTGGAGTATGCTAAAAAACGATGCTCCGGCTACCAGGGTTGCCTATTTCAGTACAGTGATAGTATATTTTATTCATCTGTCTTCCAGGTGACAGTTCTTATTTCCTGTTTTCTCCATACCTGTTCATTTTATTGTGACAACAGATTAAACGATCCAGTAGGATGCCGATATCCCGCAAAGCCATCATTACAATCTTGAGATGGTACCGCGTAAAACCAGAAATGATCAGAATCGCCTAGTCCTGCCCAATCCAAGTAATTCTTTGGACTATTTTAAAACTATTTTGTCCTGGACCGATTGTCGAAATACAGCTCCGTTTAGGCGATATAGGCCCCTAATGATCCAGTGATATATTCTAACAGAATTCCAATAGTTTAACAGCTATTTGAGGCCTCACATAACGGAGTCCAAGCCAATTAGCTCATTTAGATCTCCAGCAACAGACTAGACAATGACTATGAAGCATTATTTGAGGAAAGACTGACCTTGTTGAAAAAAATTCTTGTTTAGCTTTGATGAAATGTACCATATTTGGGAAAAGGACCCTGTTTCAATACAAGTTGGGCCAAAAACCTGCAACTTGTGGTCTAGGATCTGAAAACTGACATGCGTTTTTCGAATCATCGATTACGAATCCGTTATCAAAATTTGTTATTTTCGAAATAGCAGAAAGAGTATATCAGAAGCAGCATCACAAGCAATAAAACAGTACAGGAACAAAACTGCTATTCTCAAAAACCGCTTATATCGTCAAAGCCGAACAAGATTACACTTTTTAAATAAAGAATCGGGCTTTTCAAAGATACGACTTCTATGTGTAGGGATAGTTCCAATATTGTGCTGGACGTGGGCCCTCTCTGGAAATCTAAATGAGATAATTTGGACCCCATGACCATCATCACGTTAAGTCTTAACTAGTCACTATGCTGTAAGAACTTCGTTGAAATATACACTGTTGTTCGAAAGTTATTTACGAAAAATCGATTTCCATTGACATCCTTTAGGAACCTGTATTTTATAAACGAAGCAGTATGTCGAAAATCATTATAGGGTTCTAGAATTCTCCAAAGAAATACCCCTTGAACTCTTGCTCCATCTTTTGGGAACACCCTTTGTCAGTGAGTAAGGTTTATTTCCAAAAACTTAGTTAAGGCTTCCAGATTAGAGAAGTAACTATTTTGTTATTTCTGCTATAATTTCTCCCCTCTGTACTTACTTTCTTTTTCTTTTATCCAGGTGCTCCTCAACCTCAAAGTACAAGTGTGGCAATGTTTGGAGGCATGGTACGAGGTTCAGGCATCGTAGGAGGCGGTCCTAGTCATGGCGCTGATGTCCCCGGCAATCCTCTGTTTGACAGACATAACGACATCATGCCCCAGGGTGCCATGTCCGCAGTTATCACAAGAGATACCGTCACAAGCAACGCGTTTGCCAATGGAGACGGAGGCATTGATGGATTGGCTGCAGGTCCTGGAGGTCAGATTGGACTAGAGGATGCAGGATTGGATGGTGTTAATGGAGGGGTGCCTGTTGGTGCAGGTGGACCAGTGGGAAGTGGGGTACAAGGTGATCTTGCAGGTAAGGAATACCAACATTCAGTTTCATGGCTTAGATGTGTACCCCCTGAAGTGGGAGCAAACATCAGATTAAGATTCAGAAATAAATAAAAAGTATTCTGCATGTGTTGTCTACTCTCCATGATTCCTAGATTTATTTCACCTGTAAAACATTTTGAGCAGAAGGCAGCTTCAAGAGAAAATATGGAACTTAGGACGTTGGTTATCAGTAAGGCCCACTTGGTCTTATTCACTGCTGCCATGAACAATTCGGCTGATGTTTTGCCAGTCCACTGCCTGAAGTTCTTGATCCACGATATTCCACGTCCTCCGGGTTCCGTCTTGCTGTTTATTTTTAATTGTATCACTATATTTATAAAATTCCACATAATATGGCCAAAAGATCACAGTTTTATTTCTTCGACCGTTTCAAGCAGTGACGGTTGTACCCTTCCATCAGGTATCTCAAATTTATGAGAGATATGTTCAATCGAGATACATAGCTTTTATTATTCGAAGGTCATGTCGCACAAGATACACTCAAGCCACCAGTATCGAGAATAACTAAGCCCCATTAAGAAATCATACAGTATAGTATATGACAGTCAAAACTATTCAATAAGTGATTATAAGCAGGAGCTGAGCTTCAAATTCATTGTCTCTTAGGTTTGCAACGATATCCAAGCTTTTCCTCAGCAGCCCTTGTTATTAACGAAACCTGATCATCCAAGAATACGCCAGTACTATTATTGCTTACAATTTATGATGTTCGGATATTGTATCTTTCAAAATTGATATTTTGGAGGAAAGTCAATATTTTGTGCGCGAGTAGGTAGCGAACGCCACTTATCAATAGCTTTTCAAGCTATTTTCATCCTCATCTCAAAAGATGATGTTGACGCCTTACGCCTCATAACCTAACTTTACATCCATGCAACCCGAGGAGCGCAAACCTAATCGAACCAGATTAGTACATAATAGAAACACAGCTATTAATAAAAGGTAGTAGGTCGTGCACGTGCATTGGTTATTGTAGGACTTTGTGTTTTTGAACATCAGCTACAGAGTAATCCACAGCCCCCCTTGGCAGAAGTTTAGAATTACTATTTGCTTTTGTGAGGAAGAATATTGAGATCTGAATGTAGCGTGTGATTCGAAATATACCGCCATGGCGCAAAGAGCTCTATGTTGTATTACCTCTAAAGAATTATGTGCATAAATCACTAAGCCGCACATGCATGTCATGATAGGCCTAATAATGGATTTGTATAAGAGTAGTTTATTTAAGGTTAATGATCGACTATTTCCTCTTAGCAGAGTGTATAGTCGTTTGAAAATCCCTACGGCCTTGTTTCGGGCAGACTCCAAATACTTTACCTCCTGTTGCTATGGTATCTTTTGACCAAATACTCTCAAGCACCTATGTGGAGAATGCCTGTGCCTTGTCAATGAAACTGCTTCGGTTTTTTTGTAGATTAACATCGATATTCCACATACAGAAGTATTTTCGCAGCTGATACACCACCTCCTGAACGCAATTTACGATTTCCTGGGTGTGAGTAGACTTAGTCATAAGATAGGTGTCATCACGGTCGAGGGGTCGGAGGAGGGGCCTTAGGAAACTCCTGCGCTGATTCTCCTTAATGATGAAAAATAGGTATCAATTTTGATTCGAGACTTTCAGCCCTCCAAAAAGGTAGATAGCCAAAAAAGGCAATTTAGGTTTTACGTCTTCTATCTCATTATTGCTCGACGTTCTGCGCTATGCACAGACGATGTCGCATCAGGAAAAACGGCTGACATGTCAAGTCGGAATCTTAAGTATCCACATAGGAAACTAACAATGGCTTTCTATGCATATATGCATAACTAAATACAATAAAATGAGTACCTACAAATTCCTCGAACAGTGGATGCTTCAACTATTAAAAATGCAGTTTCACTTTTGTGAAGAACACATACTATTCTTATTGTTGATATAGCTTGGTTCTATTGTTAATTGATATTTTTTCAAATCCCAAGAGCCCTGTAAAAGACTTGCACGATGTAGTATTTCAGAGCCAAGGATCAGCCTCTTCGACTTCGCTGAGAACTAGTAGTGACATATAAGCAAAGGATTCCCTCTTTTCTTTATCCATTCATCATGCAGTACTGGATGTCACCCCCCTTTTGTGTAGACGCATTCTACTCATTTGTATAAAAAAATGGTGATCTTATTATTACAGGTGTGCCAGAAGTGGGCGGAAACAAGGAGGTAGCTTCATTTGCTGAAGAACCTAGCGAAGTAGACGTTCCAAGCCGTGTGCCTGCTGGTTCCGATAGAGTACCGAAGAAGAAAAAGCCCTCAGCGCCTACTCCTGCATCCTCAGAAGAAGACGATGATGGTGGAAATGATTCTTTTCCCTTCAATCTTGGCGGAAGAAAAGGTAGGCACGCTTAAGCATTATTTTTACTATTTTATTGAAGTGACATTTGACCTACTAATTCTATAAAATCGGACGGTATAGCGGTATATGTGTAATAAGTCTTCCTTGCTATTTATAAAAGAATTAATCATAATATTTCAAGTATGTTAGTTATCCCAAGCATAACATTTTCACAAAAAAATTTGCATATTCCTAGTCGGATATCCTATTCTAGTTTGTCTATCTGCTAGCTTTTGATAGATTGTTATAGCAGGCGATAATAGCCGTGTTATGACGTTGTAGCCATAAATGGGTGTCCTAAAATCACATGCCTGTCTCTCCTACTCATATAGAACTCAAAAAATAATGCCAATGGTTTATATAAAAAATTGTCCTATGAGGTTCCCCTATGGTGATCCAGCCACCTAAAGGACACCAGTGAGAAAGAGTTTTTCTCAAGTAAGTTATGAACGATTCTGGACTACGCATCAAAATTTTGAGAGCTGAGTAACCAGTTGGAGCCTTATTTGATTATATTCATGTAAAACAATTAACTCATTTAGATCTGCAGGGATAGACTAACAACAACGCAATATTGATAAATTTTTTTACACCATATCTCGTGACACCCCGACTATTTACTAGTCTGTCAACGTTTCGTTGTATTTCGCAGTGTACCTCATAGGTTATTTGAGTAACACCGATTTCCAGTATTATTACTTAGAGGCCTACATTGACGTAGATTTTACACAAACTCTGAACTACACTAGAATCCAATGATATTTGGATAGCCTAGTAGCTAGTTGGGACCTCACACCATGGACAGGGGCAAAAAGCTTTAACCACATTGCATTGTTGATAGTCTGTCCCTGGCGACCTAAATGAGTTAACAGTTTTCCATAAACATCATCAAGTGAGGCTCCAACTGGTTACTAAGCTGTTAAAAAATATTCTGGAATACCCTGTATATGTATGCAGCTTGGACGGAATAATTCAATAATTTAAAACCATGATGAATGCGCTGTAGCACACAATTTCACTGCTACACTAGGTACAAAAAAGTAGGCAGTAGTAGTTTTAAAAATATTATTCATTTTTTGGCGGAGCTACAGGAAAAAAAGAGAAATAAAAATCGCTGAAACATCGTATTTCAACGTTTCAGAGCCTCCAGCTCGTTTTCAGATTTTTTTTTTGGAGGTATTGAAGATTGTGGGGTTGGAAGCGATAGGATGTGAATGGTTGTGAATTGTTGAATCTGTGGTATGAGAGAAAGGTCTTCTATGCTGATTCTGGCAATACTACGTACCTGCTGGATATAATCATACAGAAATATAATAAATTTAATATATACAGTTTGATTTATGGAGACTTACGATATATCAGACTTAAGTGAACACACCTATTCAAGGTTCGATTCCACCGTTACTTTGGGATTAGCAAATTAAAGTGCAGGCCTAGGAAGTATAGAGTCAATCTAATTCCATTTTTTCAAGTTTTTTTTGTAGGAGCAACACGTCTACCTATTACTGGCTCACGCTGTATAGAAAAGCATGCAGTTTTTTTAATAATAGGAAAAATACAATTTTCCACATAAATCAATTATGTATTCCTTCCGATTTATATTGAAAAGAGAAAAACTTATTTTTAAGTAATTGATGTGCGTTACTAAATGTTACATCCCTAGAAAAGTGAGGGTAACTGCTGATTTTGACAGTTCAGGTAAAGGCTGGTCAGTCCCCTATCGCTTTTGACTATTAGTCTTGTGTCCATAGAAGCACACGACCTCATGAATCTATAAAGTCGAGCAGTAGTTTGAAATATAGGTAACATTATCAAGTCAAGCTAAAAGTGAATTTGGATGTTGCGAGATACGTATCCAATTCAAGATGCTGTATATTGTTTTAACTTGCAGCAGAATGACTGTCTGTGAAATATGCCAAAACAGGCCTCCTGGCTGACTGGATTTTGAATAAATCATCTTATAATGTTTCTATTCGAATTGGCTTTTAATTTGAGTCTTGTTACATCAACTTGCAAACCTGCCTTCCAACTTTCATTCAGCATAATCTAGTGTATTCTAAACAGGTGCACAAAACTGAGAATTGACTTCGGCAGGAAAACAAAAAAAAGCTCCTCATGTTATCAAATAGACAATACAATACCGAAATTTCTTTATTTCCAGGTATCCCAACATACAACGCGTTCTTCCCAATACACATCAGCAGCGGTTCACTGACTAGGTCCCGCCAACGCAGTGGCAGTTCAACAGCTGGTGCTTCGGACGAAGAAGACGCTGGACTGGGTGGATCTGGATCAGCTACAGCCATTGCAAACTCATTTTCCACTGGCAGGGGTGGGGTTGCAACTAGCCATGCCACTTCCTTCGGCGATCCTTATCTAGCTGCCATGCTTGCAAAGAATGGGTTGTTCAACTTCCGATCGAAACCAGGAAAATCAGAAGCTTAGGCGTGTTACATATTAGAGCACTAATTTATTGATCATAGTAATAAATAAACGAATTGATAAACGTAGCTAAGGTTTTTCATTGATCTGATTATACGTACCTAATGGGTAGAAAACTGTACGGAAAATGCGTACCATTTCTGTTAAATGAATGAGTAAGAGATCATAACATTCTGTTGCTAAAATCATGTTGTCATGCTTTCGGTAACCTAAAGCTATGAATAGTGTCCTAAAAGCATTAAAACGCGGTTAAGCATTAAGTTAAGTGTTCCCCTATTTAAATTGAATCGTTAAGTTAGTCATGAATAAACCGTCAAGGTTTTTAAATCCATCTATTTAGCTATACAATCTGATAGGGCTAAGCTTCACTCCTAAAATGATCCACGACACAAAATACCCTTCCTTTCCCTACGCATCTTATCATCTATTAAGGATGATGATAAGATGCGAAATATTCACGAAACGTACATGCAGCAGATTTTTTATGAATAATTTGTTTAAGGTCTAAAAACTAAAAATATCTAATGAAAATTTACGAAATGTAAAGGAGCAGACGAGCCAGGTACATACATTTTGGGAGATGAGTACCTAATTACGTTTAAGACAGGGATCAGAATTCTGAAGGTAAAATTTTCTTGCAATAATGATCTGAACTTGTGAAGAATCGAGCAATTTAAAGTCGAGCTTAGGAATACCTCAAAGTTAGATAACTATATTTTAGAACAAAAATGTTTCCATCTTGTGAATAATAAACAAAGTAGTGGAAGTTGTTAAAGCGCTTTATGTTCGGGTACTGTTATTTGTATACGTGCCAACGAAAGTATTGACAACGGTTTGATATCATTTTTCATGTACACAAATAAGCTACGGATATGCGACTTCTCATCTTACAAGATATATCACATGCTCCTTCTCACTGAAACTGGCCTTAAATCGATGTAAAATGAACACCTCCATATTGCAACAAGCATTGTAATAATCCATATGTTTTGTCACTATCTTTTTCATGCCCAGTGATAACTAAAAGGAGTTTTTAGGCTGAATGCCTGAAAATAAAATATTTAACATTTTTGATACAATGATACAGATCCTAGTTTTTATCAATGTCATTTTGAGTGAATTCTTACATAGTATTTCAAAAGAAAAGCGCTTCTTATCAGGTTATTTACAATGAAACACATGTATCTCCTTCTTACTTCACACGCAACACTCTCATCAATAAAAGATTATGTTCAGCACAAGTTAGCCTGCCACGTTTGACAACATTACGATATAGGCATTTCTTCCTGCCCTACCGATAGTACCAACCATCTGGCAATTCTGCTGTGACTAACTTCGGTACTCGCCAACCCAGCACGGCGTTGCAATCAGACTGCCAGCTCGGTTAGATAGCGGTCAGCCCTTGAACCAAGCATGTGTATGTTCATTTTAAGGCCAAATGTACGACAAAATCTATGATGAATGAAAGATGTGCAATAGGTACATGGAATTGCCAGTGTTGGAAGCGTAAAAATACACTAACGCCAGAATGCTCAGATATACCTACCGTCCTCACCTCCACACACAAGCATTTTTCTGAAATTGATCAAGAGACTCTGAAACGTCAAACGACATACCTTCGACGATTTTTCTTTTTTCCATTATTTTTTCCTAGTTACGCTGCCACTAGAGTATTTTTCAAATACTGTAAGGATTTTCCGTCTTTGGCATAGTAATTGTGTGAAAATTTCATCAAAATGCGAGCGATATTGCTCATGTTATAGACGAACTAACAAACTTTAAACATTGCTATGCAAATTATAGACAAATCGACCGAAATGAGTGTGGTGTACGAGTATATGTCATTGAATAACCAAAAAACATAATATCTCATTTTCGAAAATTTTCGCGATTACAATACTTGGGAGCCATGGAAGGCAAATATTGGTACGAGGAGTTGAGGTAATAATGATGCCAGTGAAATTTGTTGATATGCATGTGATTCCATCTCATATTCATGCTTTGTCCTTAGAACCTTTTGTTTATAGAAATCTTATTATTATTATATTTTGTGATTACAATATTTCCTGGTTAGTGGCGTGGGAAGTGAAAATAGTAAAACTACATATTTTGCCAAGTATCCATTACAGAATATGATGAAATAATGTATCTGGGCTCTATAAAAAATAAACCAGGCAAGGGACATCACTGGAAATGGTATTCCCTTGATAGATTCTGTTGGGGGTGGCACCTACTTGGGATTCACAGAACATCAAGACTGAAACATTTTGTCGCGTCTGGTGACCATATCTCCCGTTGTCTATGTTTATCATAGTCGATATCCCGATATTTTAGTTTGGCTACGAATGCTCGCTTCCAGAAAAAAATACCTGTTTGATTTCAAATTTTTTACACCTTTCATGATAAAGGCGATTATTGTTCCGTAAGAACCTACCAGCCCTGGTCCGATATCTAAAAACAGCATTCAGCTTTATTGTCCTAAGCTCTCATTTCAACACTTGAAAGTATTCGGAGAGTAAGCATTTTTGCGACTCGAGGAAAAGAATAGCTATTTGGTGTAACATAAATAGCTAGAGGTAGAACTGCCAAGTACCGCACCCTCTTGTTATAGCTTTGTGTGGAATATTACAATATATAAAGTGGAAGGAGCAGATCACGTCAAGGTCTCCCTTGTTGACGTTACATCTACGCAGTATGTTATCACTAATACACACATCCTCAAAAGTGTTGGTATAAATCCGTGCAGAGGTACGTTATCTACATTCTGGTTGTGAACAAAGAATCTTTATATATTTAGCAAGCAAAAAACGCAAAAAACCGTTGAGATAAAAATGTGTTTGGATTTTTATAGAAATAAGTCAGTTTAACGGTAGTGTTTGAGCAAAAAGTATTAAAATAAAATTCTATACTGTAACTTTTAAAATGCCGCGAGCTGAAATTTCTGGTTTTGATAGAACACGAATAGTAGCACTCTTCCAAGCTGGATTTTCAAATCACCGAATAGCACTGGATTTATGTATCCCAAGAAGTTCGGTTATTCGGACAATTCAAAGATTCCAAGAAACTGGCTCAGTTGAAAATCGGCCACGCAGTGGGCGTCCTCGAGTAAAAGATGATAGGGAGAATCGTTACATTGCTCTATTTGCCCGAAGGAATAGATTTTCAACAAGTACGGCTATCAGATCGCATATTCAACATACAGAGTTATTTTCACTTCTACCATCAGAAGAAGATTGCGAATGGCAAATTTGCGCCCTAGAAGACCTTTAAAGGTTCCACGTCTTACTCGTAGACAAATTGCTGATCGTCTCCATTGGGCTAGAGAACATCAGGAGTGGCTTTTACCACAGCGGCGAAATGTGGTATTTACAGATGAGGTTAGGTTTGGACTGGTGAGTGATGACCGTAGAGTAAGGGTTTGGTGAAAACCAGGACACCAACAGCGACTAAATTTGGCCCGAGAAGTTGTCCCATATCAGGACGGATCAATTATGTTTTGGAGAGGTATAATGTTTAACCACCAGAGTCCTTTAATTCAGATCCAGGGGACAATGAGTGCAGAAAATGTCATACAACCCATTATTCAACCTTTGCGAAATGAATTCGGTAACAACTTCATTTTTATGGATGATAATGCAAGGCCACATAGAGCGAGAAGGGTCCAGCGGGCTCTAGAAAGGGGCCAAATAGTGAGATTGCCATGGCCTGCGAACAGCCCAGACATGAATCCCATTGAAAACATTTGGGGCACTATAGCTCGAGCCGTACGGAACAGAATAGATCCACCTACAACCCTAAATGAGCTGCCTGCCGCAGTAAATGAAGAATGGAATAATTTACCCCAAGAAAACATTAACCACCGAATAATAGGAATGCCAAGGCGTGTTAACGCACTGCTAAAATCTAGAGGAGACCGAACTGGTTATTAATTATGTTTTATTTTTCTTCAGAATAATTATTTTTCTTTAATTTTGGATTTTAAAAATAAAATTTTTGGTGCCTTACTTGTTCAACTTTCTTTTTCTTTTCATATTAATGAAATTAATTTAACGTTTTGTTAAATAAATATAGTAAAAATATCCCCAATTATATCAAACATTGAAATTAGAAGGCTATATATAGTTTTCCAGTACGCCAGTGGTCCAACACTTTTGATGATGTGTGTATTTGTATGTTATAGGGGAAGAAGATGGAAATAAAAAACTGGTAAATTCAATGTTTATGACTCGACCCGCGCTTTACATTTGTACAAACAGTACCAAATAAGTTGCACTGATTTATTGATTCGGTGATGATTCATGTTACTATGTATGAAAGAAACTGGCAAAAGCACATTATTGTCATGACACATTAACTTATGAACTGTCGTGGGTATCGAATTGCTAATCGCATGAGTGAGTGAGGTAACAGTAGTATATTTCTAATTACATAGCCCTTAAAAATAAGACAACACAAAGTGACATCTATTACCAGAATCGATCACTGCGAGAGTGAAAACAGCAAGCTGTCTGATAGATTTGTCTCCCAATTTGCATTGTCAGCCGAGTCACCACTGTGGCCGCTAGATACCGCCGATTTTGGTGCTACAGTAGATAAATTCCACTCGCCATTGAATATATTAATAATACAGCGAGTAGAACGTATTTACTACTAGGATCGGCGGCATCTAGCAGCCACTGCGGTCAATTCATTTAATAGATGGCGCTTTGTGCTGCCTTATTTCGATACACTTGATACTCTGGTTAGAGGATAGCAGGATAGCATTCGTTCGTTGTCTACCAAGACAAGCTTACACCATTCCGACGAGTTTTCAAATGGCACGAAACATCTCTCCATGGTTGGCCGTATGCGATCAGACGAACTAAAGCTATAGTACATAATACTTCCTTGTGTAGGCGGGTGGCACATATTGCTTACGTATTGTGAGCTTACATGATAGTTCTTGTGAGCTTAAGCGATGTTTCGTGAGCTCACGTGACGTAACAATATGTTACCGCCTTAATCAGCAAGGTCGTGGGTCGAATTTATTGCCTAGCAGAGTAGAGTAATAATACACCTGCATATAACAGCCAAAGGAAGTCGACCTAAAGCTTGACACACGCATGTAGTGACCACAAAATAATTTATAGAGCAGTAAATTATTCGCAGCTCAGTAAACGGATACTGAAGATGAATGGTAGGTATATGCATGCTGGTCTTATGCTATTTCCATTATTAAAATAGAAAATTATTTTTGTTGAAAAGATAACAAATTCATATTAACTGTCACAGATTACATGCTGTTTTTATGACAGAGGCGATACAATATTTTCATAGTTGAGCAGTTACAAAAGAGCAAAGCTTCAATATAACGCATAATGACTGCATCCATAGAGAAGTTGAAAGGTGCTAAAGTGTTTCTTAATGTCAAAAATGAGATATACTCTCATCTATCCCCTGCAACTTCCCGACCCAATCTCTCACCCCTAAGACAAATTTCCAAGAATAAGCAGGAGTTTCTAAAACGTGAAAAAAGTCGGAGCGATTTTTATTATTCTAATTCTTGCCCGTACCTCCGCCGCTACTGGACTGTTTCTCGAAACCTGCAGAGCTTTTTCGTCCTCGGCTAGTAATCTTGTGTTAGATTCTCATCAAAATCCAAATCCTCAAATTACACAGGAGTTGAAGGTCAGCGGCCAGACAGACAGATAGAAAGATCGCCTGGCACACAGACAGTCAGACAGAGAGAAAGACTGACGAAAATCAGTGATTGTGAAGTACATCTCATGTAACATTCAAAAAACATATCCCATTTTCCAAATTTTTCGTAATAATACTTCCTCACCAGTTGTCATGAGACCTATGAATGTTTATTGAGTTTTATTACCTTTTAATTATCAAAAGCAATGGATGATCTTTAGAATAGATTACCCAATGAATACAAATGGTATATGGTGACGGTACTGTTCAGAGCACTTTTACTTCCAACGTCTGGACTACCGGTACGGTAGGGAGAGAATGTCTATGGACTAATTGATGGAGGCGTTGCATGGGAAGTGCCGAGAAAATCTACTTAACACCATTCGTTAATGGTTCGACGGCTTTTATTCGGTTTTATATCCAGGTTCAAGTAAACACACTCAAAGAGTCAACCTAACATTCACCATGAAGTAACGTAACGTATCACTTATTTACCATTTTTTACCAATTATAATTATCGGTATCCAGAACAATAGTTTTTTGGAATAGCATGAGATTCCACACGTCACCAGTCAATTTTTTCAACTTATCGACTATCGCTTAATCGTGATATGTGTAAGTTAGATTAGAAATGACATGAATAAAGTTGAATTTGAATGTGAAACGGATGCAAATTAGACAGCTTCTAATAAGGTGTCCAGTACGTTTATGTGTTGGTACAGGATCCTTATGTACCATATTTCCAAGGATAAAAGGCAAAATCATCGATAAATGAATGCTGTCTTTTTTCATAAATTAAAGTAATTCCATCTGTGAATGGCAACAACTCTTGATACCGATAGCAGCAGTCACATAATTTCCGGTGTTTTTTTGTCCAGATCCGTCTACATTTTGACTTATGTTAATTTTCTTAGTCTTGGGATTTTGGGATATAATGCTAAAGGTATTTAATAATGCACATTACTCATGAGGCTTTATAATTAAAGCGCATCATTGCACATTATGTCCCAAAATCTGAAGATTAAGACAAGGAACATGTTTCACCTACTAGGGTAAGAAATAACTTTTGTTGACTATAATTATAAAATTTGTTCCGCGCGCAATACTACACAAGAAATAAATGTCATCTTATCCAAAAGTCCAAAGTTGAATGAATTTCCGAAGTACGTGGAATCCCGGGCTATATCTTCCACATATCCAAACTCACAGATTGTATGGAGTGCCTCACCGAGTAAAATCATCCACGTAACTAACTTTAACTGCGCACCCTTCAAGTTGAATGAGGCCTACATTTTTCAGCTGGTTCCAAAAAAATGTCTCAATATGGTATATCAGGCAACGGAACAAAACTCATATATAACGTAGCACGAAATGATTGATGTCATACCTACCTACATACGTTACTTTTTAACTTCGTTGCGCGGATATTGGAATCGATAACGGTTTTTTATCACCCACATATTGGTGGAATCAAACGTTATATTTCAAACTGAGAACCAACCTTCTCTAGAAGGTCACATAGTCCAATCAAATTAGTAACTTGCTGATAAAACATGGCTAGAAAGTCGTGCTGAGAAATCTCGGAAGAATTATGTGGCATTACATACTTGTGTGAAGGTTCAAAGGAAGCAAAGTTCTGCCCTCAGCTTCATATAAAAGCTTTTACCCGCATGCCTATAAGGATAAGTTACATTTCTTCCAATAGGTGAATGAATAATGAAAAAATCCCACCCGTTCATTATGTGTGCATAAGTTAATCCCTTATGTATATTATTATTTTTTTGAGAAAGATTTATGATAACTACATTAAAATTCAATGAAATAGAAGAAGGACACTACTTTTATGACAAATATAATGAGTTAACATTCCATTCATGGCCCGTAACTTTATTAGATGTTTATGTTACCGGTAATTTCTATAATTCAGGTATTCTATACAATACCTAGACAATGTATAGAATACCTGGGTTGCCAAGGCAATGTATGAAATATTATGAATATTATTATCCGTTATATACTTTACCTAGGTAATGAATACAATTCCTAGGGACTGTATAGAGTACCTGCTATTCCACCAACAATGTGTAAAATAAATAGATCTTGGTCTAAATTTATCAATGTTAACCGGCATACCTATAAATTGACGGACAAATGAAACAAGTTATATTATTTAAAATCAACTTTATTAAGATTAACAATTGGAGTTCTTCTTAAAAATAAGCTTTATGAAAAGGGTACAGGAAAGCACCTTTCTGTTACTACAGTTAAATCACAGTAAAATTAAGTGAAACTAAAATTTATTCTGACTTTAAGTAACATAATGTAATTTTTTTGTTCACAAGTACGTAGGTAATTCGTATAAAAAACTTGAGAAGCAAAACAATTCTGTAAAAATATACGCAGTAGGTCTACTGCTTAGTCCAAATTTCAATTAAAAAAACAAATATTCTTACATGTACTTAAGAAAGAAAGCAATCATCTGAAAATACTAAGTAGGTCTACTGCCTAATCAAAATTATAATTAAGCAAGTAAAAAAAATATTTATTTTTACATGAGGAACTATTGACATTTTGAAGTGAATTTTTTATTTCTTCTAACAATTGTTCATGAACGTGCGATCTTTAGCAGTGTCTGCTTCTCTTTTAATTTGTAATTGTGAATAAAATCTTTCTCTCATCTCAGATATTCAATAATTATTGCCTGACAACCCGTTCCTTGCTCTCGTCTTTTACATACATTACCGGCTGCGAATTCGGTATTGTATAGAATACCTAGGCAAAGTATAGAACAAATAATATTTTATACATTTCCTACACGTTTTAGATATTCTATACATTACCTAGGTATTGTATAGAATACCGGAATATACAGATTGCCGATAACATTTATATTTCTTTGTATTTCACTCGGCCGCGCAGAAACCTTCATAAATGGCATTTTCCACATGTTAATAAGACTGATTGTAACTTTTTTAATAATAACAGTAGTAGTAATAATATATAGTTATTGTTATATAATAATAGTTATTATTATTAGTTTTATTCATGTCGGCCTTTTTGAGTTTTGGGTAGGGGAGACCGGTGTCAATTGTAACAAAATTAATATTTTATTATTTTCTGAGTTTGGGTTACTTTTTAAAACTTTCAATTTACCTTAATCACAACTACAGTAATTCAGAGAAAACTGTTTTGGATTCTAAAACAGTATACGTGCTGCAAATATGAAATGGTTATGCTTTTGAGGGAACAGTTACAAGTGTTACAATTGTCACTTAAGAGGTGTCAATAGTAACAGGGTCAGCGTCAATTGTAACGGATCCGTACAGTGACTTAAAACGGTAAAGCCTGACAAATGAAGACGTAAATAATAAAAATAAACATTTATTTCTTTGGCCAAATCTAATATAAAAATAACAGAACATCAAACAATTCGAAAGGAAACATAACATACTAAAACTAAACTTTATCATTACATCTTCTTAGATAATTCTGAATATTAGTCGTCGTCGTCAGAGTTACAATTCACGCAAACATAAAATGGACTTTTATTTGAACAATTTGCCCACTTTTTGCATTCTCGACATTGCAACCAGTCTTCTGTGCTCTTAGAATATCGACCAAAACATACCAAACAGAGGATTTCTTCGTCAGAAGAGTCTGAAAAAGTGTCTTTCGGTTTTTTATTCACATTTTTCATTGGAACTTTTTTCTTTAAATTTTGTGCTTCAATTAAAAGTTTTTCTAGTGTATCTGTTAGTATGGCCGTTTTTCGTTTCATTTTTCCTCCATTTTTGGATTTAGCGAAATCTGCTTTTGGCAGTGGTTTAAGAACTTCAGGCGTAACTAAAGATGAATTATTCTCGGAAACTAATAGTGATTCTGTTGGAGGAGTAGTGTCTGAGGCTGTGGATGGTCTTGGTTAACTTCGTAATGGACTGGTGTGTCTTATTATTGCTGATTCTGGATGTATGCCTATTCTCGATGTCGGGCATATTAGTCTCTGTAGTTAAATTGTCATCTTGTAGTGGCTTGCTGGTAACAGTGGAAGGAGCAAAATCACTATCTCAAAAAATCTTTCGGTTGAAAGGCCATATACCGGTGCATGAAAAAACAGCAATAATGTTATTTGGCGTAGTGGCCAAAGGAATAGATGATTTTACAATCTCAGCTAAATTGTAAATGGTCATGCGTTTTCCTGGATTATTTTTCATCCACTGATATGCAGCATTGTTGAAATACTTTTTAAAAGGGCCATACACTCCTCGGTCCAAAGGCTGGAGTCTATGTGATGTGTGTGGAGGGAATGACAGCAGGGTAATGAAATTATCTCTGCAATAGTCTATTAAGGAAATTGAAATTTATGAAGAGTGGTTGTCCAACAAAATAGGCACCTTATTAGTTTCACTTGGTTTAACATGTTACACGAAATGTTTCATCAAAGCGAGAAATTCATTTTCTTGCATCCACCCGGATTTATTTCCAGTGCCTATACATCCAATGGGTCCATCTCTAATAAAATGATCTTTAAAATAGATACGAAGGAATACAAACATTGGAGAAACCGTACTGCTACGTTGACTACGTTGACAGCTAAACATAGCTTAACGAGTGTTGCACGTTCTTGCGAGGATATGGATCCCACCTGTTTTGTTCCCTTTTTGGCTATTACCTTAGTTGGCTTTTGCACTGTAGTCACCCCGGTCTCGTCAATGTTGTAAATGTTTTGAGGTTCAAAGTGATGCCTTTCCAAAACTGATGATAGTTTATCAAAGAAGCTGGATACGTTCTCTTTACTGAAATTCATGGCTCGTGAAAGGCTTGTGGCTTGGGGCGTGCGAAGGGTTAAATCAGAGTGCCGTCTTAGTAAAGCTGCAGCCAATCTTCACAGCGTGTTCAGTTTCATCCCATTTTTTTAGGATGGGTGAGTTTGTTAGCATATGCAAATTGAAACGCTAGCTTACGAAGATCTCTTGTTGTCTATCCAAAATATAGATCTACAGTCTTTTCACAATATTGAGCAAGCTGTTATTCTTGTTCTGCAGTAAAAACTTTGTTAAATGGATTGTATCCTACCTTAGGCTGCAAATTATTACAAAGAGATTTTACATAACGATATAGTGTCACATTTCATATTCTTTAGCCACTTTCCTTACAGGTTGGTTATTATCAATTATGTTTCTTGCAGCTTCATCATATATTATTTAAGGTATCAATCCTCTTTCGGTCTTTCTTCGCCTGGGTTTAACCATTGTTTCGTTAAACTGAAAATAAAATAAGTTTATCAAAAAAGGGCATGACCCGGTGTTCCTGACGCTCACCTTATACCAGTTATCCTACTCCCTTACTTCAAGAATTGACTTCCTGGTATATTCAAATCTCTTGAGGAATTTCTATAACGAGAAAGCCAATAAAAACTACACACATATTCTTTCGATCGTCAAAATCTCGCACAGAAGTCAAAATGAAAAATGCAGTTTATAAATGCTATCGTATCATTTATTTTTGCTTTTTATCGAAAATTCGTCGACACTGTTCAGATTTCCAGAAATAAAGCGTCACTACCTAATATCACATCACAGCATCATGTCAAAGTTGTCACATCTGTTACTGATAGTGGACTAGAGATTATCCTTCATCCAAGTTGACTTGACTATGAGTCTGATCTAGATAAATTAAAAATCATACTGCGTACATTTGAATTGTTTCAACGTACCGGTAAAATTTATTCAATCCTATTAAGATATTCAGATCCTCCTTGTATTTCTTTTAAGGTTTGAGGAAGTAAAACAACTTTTGATGGTGGGTTATAAATACAAAAGGTGAAGTTCTCTTGACACCAGTATTCCGCTCAAAATTAAGCAATCATGTTTCCCCTTGTTTTGCTGGCATTGTTTTCTGTTGGAGCTTTTGGACTTCCATCAGAGCATGGTAAGAAGATGATAATAATGGATTTTCACTTCGGATTCACGGCTTCTTTTCTGGAAATGTTTTTTTAATTTGCAACGCTGCTTAGAGAATATTTCATTTGGAACTTGATAAAATTAGGGCAAATATTTATAAAGTCCAGACAGAATGTGTAAAGCATTCTGTGCATTGAATCGCTTATAAAGCTAATCATCAAAACCCTACATCGATCTTCATTTGGAAGTATCTAGCCGAATTGGTAACATTTTATAAAAAAATGTCAGATTCTGTGGCAATTCTTTTAACAGAATGTATCATATTTGATTGCACGTTCAGAAGGATCATTCCAAATGTACGTATAGAAGGTTGATATAAAGTTCCATCGCGCTCTGATGTTTAGTTGTTGAGCTATAAGCTATTCAGTGCAAAAAAAATTTGACCTCTCACCAGTTCAAAATTTAAAAAGACAGTAAATTCATACTCTAGGAATATCAAGCACTGATTAGAAGTTTCAAAATGAAGTATCTCATAATCTCTTATTCAATTCACAACAATATACCAAGATGGCACTTAGCAGATATCTTAAAACATTGATGATTGATAAATTTCATCACCCCGAATGTCAGCTTGCCAACTTGACTTGTTCAAATAATAAGTAGAGGTTGTCCTTTTTTTGAAAAGTACCGTATAGTCAATTTTTACCAAATTCTTTTGGGCGCGTTGAATTTCATGAAATACTTGCAACACTTACTTACGTGTGAAATACAATCTTTACCAGAGGTAATATGGATGCTACTATCTTATCAGGACACAATGGTGTTATTAGTGTCTGGCAAACGTACAAGGAGCTCCTAAAGTTGGCACTTTCCTTGACATGGCATTTAGTTCTTGTAAAAACCAAGTAAATTCTACTAGCAATACTTTCACCAAAGACTTAAGATAACCAAAATATTAGGTTGTGAAAAGGTATGCGATGTTAAATGTAGCCCTATTTCGTGATCGGCGTCGTATGGGTAAACATAGCTGTTTGTTGACAAATCGAATTAGCAAGCCTGAAAATAGCACAATTCTATACATACCATATACACCTATTTTAATGAGTTAACTTACCATCCGAATAAAGGTTGCTTAGAAGTTAGAAATTTTTGTAAAGATGATTCGAAGCATGTTAAGTATCTAATGGTACGCTTCCATTGGTTTTTGCATTGACGAAACTTAAAATAGAATTTTAAACATGATCTAGTTTATGCACTGCTAAAAATATAACTGCCTGGCGAATACGATAGCTTTTAAAATATGGGGCAAAAATCCAATAAATGATTTTGTTACGTGAAAATAACGCTCAATAAATTCCAAATAACATCGCCTGAAATCGATATTTAGAAAATGACCCCTGAAGAAATTTGTATAATCCAATGGGGTTTTGACCATGTATTAACTGCTTCGGGCCTCACATGATGATGTCCATAGACAACAATCAGCTCATTCATTTTTCCCGGAACGGCAGGGGTATTACGTATCTTGAAAAGTGACATTTTATTATTTTTTTTATATTACATAGGTTTCTTGCGACATTATGTCAACTTACCACTAGCTGTTGTATACTTGCTGTGTACTCGTTCCAAAGCCGTACGTGTTGCCTAAACGTCATGATGCTTCAGCTACCAATGTTTGTCTCTGATGTGATATAACATCTGCTTAATATATGGTACATACAGGAATATATATTGAACGTAACAAAGTTAGTACATTTCAGATTAATTTTTATTTCCAGTCATTTAAATTTTATAGATATTTATTTTACGATGTCAAGTAGAAAATACAAATCGGCGCCTAAATGAAAGGCAGTGAGAAAACGTTTTGTATGTGATGAATCATTCCTAATTTTGCTGTCGCTACTTTGCTAGTCAACCATTCACTTTCTCAGAGTATACTCTATAGACTAGCTCGGCATGATGGGTACTGATTTGTAGCTTGCAGCATGGTTATTGAATCATACTTTCATAGATCTACGCTTTTGACGAGGCTCACAGCGCTCATAGCGAGCAAACGCGGGGTGGGGTGTACTATTTGCACACTAGTAACTATCTAGGCAGCAAGATGATAATTTTAACGTTTTACAGGTTTTTGTACTTAATAGACCTGACGCAATATTGCTAATTTTTTTCCCCTGTATAATAAAGAATCAGAAGTGATACTTTCGGAAAGCTTCCTCTTTTATCTAAAAAAATCCCTGCCTGACTCCGATATCATGAGCATATTTTGAGAAAGACGAGGTTATACATTATTTGCTGTCCTATAACAGAATGAAGCACGTGCCACTATGTATGATGCAGTATACATTTTTTATTTAGACCTTTTATATCAATATATACAGCTATAGAACAGGCTTATAGGCCCTAAGCTGAATAAGATTATTCCACCATTTCTTGTCTAATGGTCGTTTCTTCCAGTCTCTGATATTCCTGCTCGTCAAATCTTTCATAACCAAATCCTTCCATCTTCCTCTTGGTCTCCCTCTTTTCTTCTTGGTATCCGGAACTCTCCATGCTATATGCTTTACTGTTCTTTCTTGCGGCATTCTTTCCAGATGCCCCAGCCACTGCAATCTTTTGGTCCTAGCTACTCCTATTATATTTGGTTCACTATATCGATGATTGATTTCCGCATTAGACTTCATAACATACCCTCCCTCCACCTTGATCCCCCCATATATTATTCTTAAAATTTTCTTCTCCCACGTAAGTAATGTTTGATCAAGTTTTTTATTAATTACCCAGGTTTCTACTCCATACAAAAGGGCTAGCTTGACTATCGTATTGTATAGCCTTATTTTGGAGACTCTAGATACATTTCATGACGAAGGGCCGTATCGTCTTTCCTACAATTGTACGACTCCTTCATGGCCTCCTTGATTTCCATAGTGTTTCCTCTCCTTCAAAAGGGCTGGGAAATTTCTAGTTTTCTATTGTTCTGTATCAGCGTCAGCGCCCTCCTATTGTCAGGCTATGTTTTTTCTTGAATTGTAGGAAATTTCAGGCTATATAACAGATGATATAAATCAAAAGTATGAACAATTTGATGCAAATAGATATTTGTAACATAACCTCAAAATCGAGCGCTGACACGGAACAGTAGAAAACTATGAAAATCAAGGAGGCCATAAAGGCGTCCTACAATTGTAGGAGCGAGTGACGATACGGCGCTTAATATTTCTGTTAAGCATTCCCGCACATTTATTGGCCTTACCGATTCTGTAGTTTACTTCTGTTTCTTCATTTATTTTATTACTAATCAGCGATCCTAAATACACAAACGCATCCACCTCTTCAAAAATCTTTTTTCCTGTGCTTGCCATTATTTCTAGCCCCGTTTTTTCCTCGTTTACCATTAATCCCATTTTGGCTGCAACTTGTATAAACTGCTCTACTTTTTCCATTGTCCTTTTGTCCCCAGCTATTATGGTGTCATCATCAGTATAAGCAGTTAGTTGGTGACTGTTAAATAATATGCTTCCTGATCTATTCAGCTGACTCTCAATAACGATTCTTTCTAGGATTATATTAAATAAAAGTGTAGATAATGGCTCCCCCTGTCTGAGTCCTGTATTGATCTCAAACTCTCCTGTCAATTCGCCTCTTATTTTGACTATACTTCTTGTCTCATAGTCATTCTGGTGAGGTTTATGAGTTTTCCAGGTATACCAAAATAATTTATTGTATGAAATACTGCACTCCTTCGGATCTGTCGTAGGCTTTTTGGGAGTCAATAAAGATTGCGGGTATTCGTAGCAGGTAGTAAGAGCTTATTTCCTAAAAAAAGAATTGATCAGTTGTCGATCCTCCCTTCCGAAAACCAGCTTGATAATCTGATAGTCTCATTTTAAGCAATATTGGTAAAATTTTATATACTACATCCAATAGCGAGATTCCTCTGTAGTTATTACAATCTGTCGCCTCACCCTTATTCAGTAATGGGGTAATAAGTGCCAGTTCCCAGTCCCCGGGCATTTCTTCTTCTCTCCATATTCGTAGGATTAATTCATGTATGTGTTGTTTCAGCAGCCCCCCTACATATTTAATGTTTTCTGCAATAATACCGTTGTACCTTGCTGTTTTTTTATTCTTCACGTTTTCAGTTATTGTTTCTATTTCTTCCCTGACTGGATCATCAATGGTATCTTCTACCTGCTCGTCTCTATACGGTTCCTTGGTTCCTTCTGTATCATCACCATTGTTGTACATTTCACAAAAGTTGTCTCTCCATCTTGCTTTAATTTCTTCATTCTGCAGTACTAAATTGTTATACCTGTCCTTAACTGAATTTATCCCTACTATTTACCCCTGCTTGCCTTTTTTCGCTTCTCTAGAAAAATGTCTCATTTCCTTTCTCCTAAAATATTCCTCCATATTTTTACGCTCCTCCTCAATCATTTCTCTTTTTTCGCCCTTACTATTGACTTGGTATACCTTCTTTGCGATCTATAGGCTTCCATATGTTGCCCACTTTGTGTAACTAGCGCCTTCTGCCGAATTTTGTTCCTTTTTTCCCAGTTCCTTATCACACATTTAGACCGTTTACTTTTTTTTATTAACGGATGAGAGATCTGAATAGAGCGGATGTTTTCCGACCCGCAGAAGTTTAATTTACCATAAATAATCAAACTGAGTGTACCATCCATCAATTCTCACACAAAAAGATGAACAGCTCCTGTCAAATGGATTATAGATAAACGTCTTTCTAACTGCATTAAGAAGAGTATGTGTAGCATATATTGCAGTTTATTTGCCACTTCTTCCTGTTGATCATAACCTCCTTGATTTATATGATTATTATAGTTGCATTACGGTATCAAGCTTCCTTAGAAGCCTATTTTACTTAGCACTTTGAAAAATAGCACGAAATGTTTGTTTAAGCATGGGTTCTAATTGCTTCTTTACCGAGAAGGAGGAAGTAGAAAGTCGAATACTTTGAAACCTCAGGTACAACCTTAAAATTTCTTTATAAATCATGAATTTTGTCAAATGTGGTAATGTAATTTACAAAAAGTGTATCAATGGAGGCAGCATCACATAATCTCCACGTTATTCGAAGACCATTCATGCCATATTTTGTTTCCTGAGAAGCACTAAAAGATTGTAATTTTGACTAACTCATGGCCAAAAAAACTCTTTGAAACGACGACGAGGGAAAACTGGGGTTTCTGTGAAATAAAGAAGAAAATAAAAACCGTTCACACTTTTTTCTAGCGGGGAATACATCATTTCAGAGGTATTTCAAAGTTTGATCAGTATTGTTGTCTAAGTCGTTCAATTGTACTATACACCTTTGTGGTACGAGTCTTTTTCAACCAAGCTCTATAAATGCAAAAACAGGAATAGAAGAAAATCACCATAGCCAGTAGAATATATTAAAACAAGTATAAATATAAAATAAATATGAAAAAGTAGTATTTGGATCTGTATATTAAAAGCTTATAAATGAAATAGAAAAATGAATGAATTGCTAAAACTGTTTTGACTGTCCATTTTACTGAAATTCTAGTGGCAGGTTTGGCGAATAAAAGTGATTATTTTTCCAAATCAGATCTATTCGAAGCAAATTGTTCACTTTTAAATAGTCGAACACATGACAGAATTTGAACAAGATATGGAAACGCAGGGCGTTATCAACAAAAAAATACACCCCAGTAAATGCTGCACTAGTGAATAAAAAACTGAATGAATACTTTTTTGATAACGATTCTGTCGCTTTACAAATCGGCTAATTTATGTATTGGAGCTCAGCTCATGGATTTTGTACCCATTGCTGTTTCATGATATGAATCGGTATACATGAGGAACTTTGTAACGGTGGATGAGCCTGTAAAGTTTTACATAAAATATATTTGATCCAATATTAATTCAAAACCTTGAATGAAATATTTTTAGAAATAACTTTGCAAATTATATTATATTAAAAATTATTACACGTGAGAAGACATTTTAGTGAAACAATCGGAATGCAGTCTCTAACCTCCTACTTCCGCTACACGTGGAGAGGGGGACGGCACGGAAAGATAATGCGTCGACAGATGACAAGTGATTGACGCGACGGACCGTGGAACTGTAAACCTGATTGTCCAATTTGGGTATGAAGTATACGAGGAATGCTCGGTAAACCTCCACCCAAATTACTAAAATGCTGAATTAATTTGTTTTGGAAAAATGTGTAGTTCATATGAGTGTACGAATGTGAGATAGTG